GGGGGGGGGAACAACAACTGAAAGTTGGACGAGAGGTTGCTGATAAAAACCGCCGTGACCTTGAAGACTGTGCTATTGCATCTGCACGAATCCCTAAAGTATGACTATGCATGCAAGGTTATTTAAAATATTTGATCAAAATGGGTGGTAGTTATTAAAGATTTATTTTTTTGGCATGTATTGTTTTACAATGGTTTCCATTTGCGAACATATCAAGTAGGTACAATTATTCATCACATTATTATTATTATTATTATTTCTTTGTTCTGTATTGACACACTTCCCTGAAAGTAAACACCCAGAGAACCAGTGCTGCAAAGGATGGTGAAAATAACCGTGTGTGCCTAATTTCTATTTGATTGAAAATGTGAAGGCAATCATACAGCAAGGCTTATCTACTCTCTGAAACTTTTTTGAGGACTCGAGTATAGGCCTACTTTTCTATGAGGACTTTCAGGCCATTTGTGTTTGTGAATGTAGTCGAACATGATGTGAAAAAACGTTACAAAACATAAAAACTATGTATATAGCCTACAATTCTTATCATTATAAATTGTACATTAACGAATGAGACTTTTGGTTTCATTTTATTGTCTTTATATATTTTCCTTCATTTTACGGACTGGCATTATAGTTATTGCAAGAATTTACATCTTAAAACTGGATAACAATGTACAAACATTTTAAAGGTAACAATTCTGTACATATTTTAGTCGAGGAGTTTATCATAAATATTTTGTGTCAAACATAATAAGCTATACCATAATTTAAGAACAAGAGGCTTTTCTCAAAATTAGCTACTCGAAGTGGATGATTTCCAGACATGTGTAACATACATGGAAATAATACAATAAAATACATTCACAGAACTGTGTCCATTTTAACGCACTAGGCTACATTTGACTTCGGCACTTAGGATCCCCGTTAATACTTTTATGGTAAGACAATCACGTAAATAGCTCTAATATTCTACATGACAGAAATATTGTGTTCAAACACCGTAACTTGACATGACCTTACTTCAAAACATGCATACAGTCAGAAATATGCATCCATCCTTCGCCTTTGGAAAATGACCAAAGGACATTTTATTCTTCATATAAGAAAACAGCCTGCGTTTTAATCCCATAATACTTTTCCGGCTTCCTTCAGTCACAGTGCAACACTGAATCTTAGACATGCTGAGAACATAAACCCTCATTTACTATTTACAAATAATATTTCCTTTTATATGCAGTTTTTGGCGAGGTCCTTAAACGTACCACTCGCTAAAATTGGACGTTAAACTGCTGTGGGCGCTGCTGTTGAGCGCGGCAGAGTCCGGCGACATGGTGCTGTGTGCTTCTGAACACGGAGAGATCAAACTGGAGGGTGTGGAGGACTCGTACCCGGAGCTTCCAGCAGGAGAGGAGTCGACCACCGGAACGTGATCCTCGTGAACCTGCAAAAGGCATCAGACTGTTAGAATCAGTTCATTCGGACTGAACCAACAGACTGGTGAACAAAGAATAGCTGTCAGTTGGATTGAATTCTCACCTTCATGTGTTTCCTTAAAGAGCTGGGATGAGTGTAAGACTTGTCGCACAGTTTGCACAGATATGGCTTGTCAGACGTGTGAACGTGCATGTGCTTCTTCCGGTCACTGCTGTTGGCGAAACGTCTGTCGCAGCCGTCGAATTCACACAGGAACGGTTTTTCTCCTGAAAGACAAAAATAGTTTCTGTTTAGATGTATGTTTTACACGCTGGTTAGAACTTTAGCACGCAGAATCGATGAATGCTACTATTACGATTACTCTCTCAAACAAGTGGGCTGATTTTGATGCTGCAAAGGGGATGATGCGCAACCAAATTACGCATTCAAATTTAAGAGCAATTGACACTTACAAAAGCATCCGTTTCTAATTATAAAATCACTATAGGATTTCTAACCTTAAACTAACTTGTCCACTGACTACTGAGACACCAGTGTGTAACAAACACTGGAGAAAGAAACTGAAGAGCAAGGTCAAAGTTCTGGATTTGGTACTGAAATGACCATTTAAACTTAAGTAGGCCTACTGCATGATTAAATAAAAGGTCGTATTTAAAAGAGCATCGATAAATAATCACCTGTGTGTGTCCGTTTGTGTATTTTCAGATTCTCTGAACGCGCGAACACCTTGCCACATCCCGGGAAGGGGCACGCGAAGGGTTTCTCTCCCGTGTGCACTCGGATATGATTCACCAGCTTGTATTTTGCTTTGAATGGCTTGCTCTCCCGTGGACAGTCCTCCCAAAAGCAGACGTGGTTACACTGTTCTGGCCCACCGACATGCTCCGTGGACATATGTGTGACCAGCTCGTGCATGGTGCTGTAAGTTTTGCTGCAGCATTTTTTTGGGTCACCAAGCTCCGGATCGATCCATTTACAAATGAGCTCTTGTTTGATGCACTGTTGTCGCATGTAGCGGAAGAATGCGCCGGGATGGTGCGTCATGTTCATATTCATATTTAGGCCATACTGGCTGTAAGGATCGGCCCGCGCATTGGGCACTTGGTGATACTGCTCCGTTCGCCCGAAAACCTCACCGGGTATTCCAAGGCGTCCGTTTAGGATGTTTGGAGAGCCGTGATGGGACCCGTGCTGCTCGTGGATTCCAGGGAAAAGTAGGTGACCCTGACCTTCTGGATGGGAGTGATGTAGAGGCCCTGCTGTGGAGCTGAAGATGGGGTGTTGTCCGCTGCCCGGAGTCGAATCCCCAAAACCTCGGCTGCGCAAGAGAAACTCCCTGGTGGAGTTAAACGTGGAA